CAAACTCACCATTTCCCGAAGTTGTTCAAGTTGGCTTCTGAAGCCGGAGTAGCCTGTGGATTCGTATCCTCCGTAGCCTTGATAGTACTGCGTGTATTCGTAAACTTGCTGCTGCACGTAACTGGCCTGATATCTGAGCTGCTGCGCTAAACGTTGTACTTGGTTTCCTGGCTGCTGCTGTTCTGCATACAGTTCTTGGGCCTGTTGCAGTCTCTGCTGCGAACGCTGTTGTGCGCTGTGCAGAACGTATCTGACTTGAGAAAGTACTCTAGTCAAGTGGCTGTCGTACTGTTGACCCTGATAGCTCTCATAGTAGCGGTTTGCTTCATATCCGTAATCATACAACTGTCTTCCGTAATGAGAATATTGCTGATAACCGTAGTACTGGCCATACTGCTGGTGCGAATAATCTTCGTCGCCGGAATTCTGTAAGAAGTATTGAGTACCTTGATAGATCTGCTCCCTCAGATAGCTGGCCTGTTCCTGTACTTCCTGCAGCAATTGCCGAGCCTGCTGACTCGGTTCGTAATCCGACTGTTCGTACTGGCTCAAGATATACTGGGCTCTACCCAGCTGTCTCTGTGAGTAGTATTGTGCGGCCTGCAGAATGTATTGTACCTGGTAGAGAATTCGTGCAACCTGCTGGGATCCTTCGTAATTTCCCTCTTCCTGGGGATACTGCAAATATTTATAAACCTGTTGCTGCAAAGAGTACGCTTCTGATTTTACTTCCTGGATTAGCTGCTGTTCCTGCTGACTTGGCTGCTGTCCAGATTGCGCGTACTGCGAAAGCGTTTGCTGTGCTTGTTCTAGTTTTCTCTCCGTGTAATATTGTGTTCTCTGGAGAACATTTCTGACTTGGCGTAGAAATCTTCGAGCTTGATATCCGTATTGTCCTTCGTACTGGCCGCCAGAGGGATAATATTCGTATTCGGAATATCCAGAGTACTGACCGCCAACGGGATAATATTCGTATTCGGAATAATCATAGTGCTGACTGCCAGAGTACTGATGATAGCCTTCGTGTCCCGGATATTGAGAGTACTGGCCATATCGCTGCAGCGAGTATTCCAAGTATTGGTAAACTTGTTCTGTCAATTGGCTGGCTTGCGATTTTACTTGCTGAATTAACTGCTGAACACGTTGGTCATACTCTCCTTCGGTCTGCCCAGAGCCGACAAGGTACTGTTGACTCTCCTGCAGTTTTCCTTCGCTGTATTCTCTAGCATACTGAACTGCATCTCTCACTTGTCTGAGAACTTGACTCAGGTCTTGATATTGCCCGCCTCCGTATCTGTCATTAGAAATGTACGCGTCAAATTTAGAACACCGCTGAAAGTGATCTCTGTTCGAATGACGCAATTAATTTAACTTACGGTTCGTATCCACCTTGTTGTTCATAATTGCCGTAGCTTGGTTCGTCGTACACTGAATAAATAACATATGTTTCGGTAAAGAGTGAATAGAAAGTTTCGAAATTCGAGAGAAAGCTCTTACCTGCTTGAATTGAAGCGTAGGCTGCTCCGAATAACAGCAAAATTGCCAAGCACTTCATTTTTCACCCTTCTAGAAAGACGTCGACACGATATTGTCAGTCATTTGTGCTCGTGTAGAATTAATTTCATTTTGTAAAAATACTATCCGATAACTGTAGTAATTAAAAACATTACTCACCTTTCAATGTTCGGAAGTGGTTAAACACCGTTGTGAG